GAAATACAGTCGAAAACGTCAAACCAAAATTCCCAGTATTTTTCCATTGCCATATATAAAGTTCATCGAATCCTTTGAAAATCTAAACTCTTTATCGTGGCAGTAGAACTCCTTTATGTTACTATGTTTTTCCCTAACATATCTCAATAATACGCAGTCTTCAAGGAAATGTCATGCATTGCCTTCAGTACTACAATAACAACAAAGACTATTATATTGTAATTTAAATATTTTCAGATACGCCGAAGCGCTCTCTTTATATGCATATATATCTTCTACATTAAAGACCGTTGACACCGCAGAGTTGAATTTTAGTAATTTTAAAGTAAGTTTGCTTTTTTTTATCTTCTATGATCCATACATGTCTTTTCACTTACATCACAAAGCTGTTTCAATTGCTAAAGAACAGCACAGATTTAAGAAAGCCTTCAAGAAAATTTTAGGGCATGCAAAGTATTGTGTGATAATAATGATAATAAAAGATGCAATAAATATTTTAATAAGAAGAGATTGAGTATAATGAAACAAACATGCTGCTGCATGTTTATCTTTCATATCAGAGTCATACCAAATAGCAGACCTCCAATTTCGATATAAAGCTGATGCAGGCAGATATCCAATGTACAGTTGTAGAGAATTGACGGTAGATCACATATTGACCGCATCGTTTGTGTTTTTATGTACGTTTACTAAACAAATGTATCAAACAAACCAGCTAAACTTTTTTTTTTTTTTTTTTGCTAAGAACATGGAAATTGGGTCCGCAAATACATCAGGAAAAAAAAACACATTCATATACGAATATATAACAGGAAACACTCAGAAGTACTAGAATTAAACTATTAAGAAGCAATAAAATATATTAAATATGTCTATTTCAACATGCCTATCTGTTTATAATATGAAAATATTATGTACATGTACGATTTCAAAGAAGGTATTCAAAGGTCTTTTTAACAGTAATACTTAAATCATAATATCGAAATATGAACCAGCTAACATATACAAAAATTAACAGACGAATTACGGACATAGTATCTACCTGCATCAAGCTTTATTCAGATGAGGTAAGCAACGAAAGTGTAGTCAAAGATCAGCCAACTCGATTACCCTAATGACTGTACGACACGCTGCTAAGCGTTTCGATTGGGTAGGGCAGCGTTGAAGCAGGATGCGTGTGATGAATAGAAGCAATTAGCGTAATGTGAGAGTCGGTTTTGCATTTGTACCAGATATCTAAAACGATTCATATATGGCGCAAAACCTAGAAACTATAGATCTCATCTACTAACAGAAAATTCTACTTGCTAGTTGGCGAGTGGGTGGGTTTCAAAATGGTATAGATTTAATTTATCTGAAAACCGGTGGGATTCCTGGTTTTCTAAAACCTTTGGGCAACGGTATGTGCGCATCCTTTCTGCGAGATACGTCCAGTTCATGTTTTGCATTCAACCTGATGGACTGGGTCAGTTTCAACAGGTCGGTAAAAATCCAAACAACTAACTCAGAATGCAAATATATGGTTAACAGAACATTTATTTGAGTCTGTACGTTCTCCATTACCATCCAAATCCTCAGATCTAAATATGCTAAAGCTCATTTGGGATGCCATGCAATGTGTTATTGAACAGAGAAATCAAACAACTTGGGATACGTGCAAATTATCGAAAGCTCTGAAGGACATATGATGGTCATTGCTTGTTCAAATTTGCAGAAAATCATACAGTTTACACCCCATAGTATTTTTAGAGTTTTTGGCTCATATGATTGACCAATCAAGCATTAGACTGGTGTACCACATTTTCCTCACAGTTGAGTGTGTGAAAATATGTATGCACGCACATATTAAAATTTTCATAATTATTGGATGTTAAAATTTTATAACATACACACACATATCATTTAGAACCTAACTTGCATCTTAATGATTCAGGTTAGTAAATATATTTTATTTGTTGTTCCTTCACGATTTCTTCGCAATATTAGCGTGTTTAATTTTCTTCTCAAACGTAAAGGAGGTTAATAATATTAAAACAACAAATTTTACTTTTTTTAGGATTTACGTAACACCCTGAACAAGTGAAACGTTTTACTTAGAAATGAAAGATAACGAGTCTAATTCAAAACTAAATTTTTTACCTTTGTTCATGTTGTAAAAGGTTAACTTCCAAAGCTAAACTTTTATCAAATAGAAAATTTTGAAGTGAATAAAATTAAATGGATATGCAAAACGCATGCATGTTTAGCATAATGTTGTAGAGACATTAGGATTTTTTGGAAGCCAAAGAGATGAAAAATTAGCACCGCCTTCGCTGGGAATCGAACCACGGACCTCTGGAATACCGGCCCAGCGTGCAGAACCACTACACCACGAAGGACGCTAGAAAGTGGGAGAAATACCTTATAATGTAATAAATGTAATATGTATTCATCTGCTGATGAATGACAATATGTTTACAGATTAATCAGTGACTGTATTCTCAAACTTAACACAAATTTTAGGAAAAAATAAACCAGACTTATCTCGAAAACAAAATAAAGAAAGATAACATAAATAAAATAACAGAAAGAATAAAGTAAAGAAATAAAATAACAGAAAACTATAGATTTTTATTCCGTCCATTATCTTTTGCGGGTATCTTCAATAATTTTTTATAGCTTTGCTGAAAAAATATAATGCAATCTATCGCGTAATTAAACTAATCCATCAAAGAGTGAAAAGGTCTTCGACGTCTTGAAATTTAAAATAAAAAGTAAAGTTCTATTCTTAAATGCAATCATAAACAAAGAAACAAAAAAATACTTTACCTACCGCCCTCACACATACACCTTATCAGAAATGACAGCAATGTGATTACTCACTTGCTTTGTAGGTTGTACTTTTCTCAATTAGAAAAAAAATATAACTAACCTAAATTATAATTATAAGACCTTCTAGAACATTTTTCATACATCTCTTATTTGTTACGTTAATTCAAAACGCATATTCTTTTAAAATGTATTTTCTTTATAGACAGTTTTTGAAGGCTATTTTGAGAATAAATCTAAGAATTAATCATACAAATTAAATAAAATATATTTTATTTTATTTAAGTAATACTTTAAATATTTTGCTTAAAAAATATTTTACTCTGCACTTCATATTTGCAAAACTGTTTCCAATGTAACACGTCTCATAACACATCTGAAAAATTAATTTTAATAACACATTTCAGTTTTATAAGAATCTATGGTATATTAATATTTACGTACGCAAAGTTTTGAAACAATTTTTAGTTTATAGTTAGAAACGCTCACGAGTTATTACAATAACGTTTCACGAATTATTATTATCTAATCTAATTTTAATAATGTATTTGACACTTAACTGTAATATATGAACTTTGGGTTTTATTTCACAAGTGAGCAAGCAGTATTAGCTTAAAACTAATATTATGATCTTTTAAATATTGAGTACTGAAATGACTTTGGTTTTAAGAATAATGAAAGGTAACACAGAGTCTTCAAATGTGGTTTAATTGAAGAAACATTTAGGAATTTAATAAAACGTACGTAGTTATGATGAAGTGATAAACAAGTTTTACAAACGCATACAAATATTATCTGTATTAAAACCAGTTATTATAATAAATGAACTTATTAAAGTAATGCATTACGGGTAGTAATATCATGTTAATTTGTATTGGAAACTTATGAACATATCTGAGATAATCACTACGAAACTATCTTTTGAAGATTTCAAAAGTATACTTACGTACTTATAAATATATTTAGAGACCTTAAAATAAACAACGGTGTTTTAGAAAAAAATGTAAAGATCTCAGTTTTGTGTGCAGTGCCACAATTGTTGTTTAATTTGATATTTTTATATGAAATTTCATTATTTTTTTAGTATCTAAAATACAGCACTGAAATTCAAAACTGGACAAAATTCATTTATAAATCTTAGAGACATGTATATAGAAAATGTTTGATATTTTTCCGTAATATGAAGTGTATTTTGATAAGGTTGAAGGTCTCTATTACGGGAAGAAACCAAATAGTGACTTCTGTGAGTTTAAAAGGTATTTAAATGTGAGAGATTTTCACATTGTAATTTAATTCTCTATTTAATGAGAATTAGGTTGAGAAAAGAAAAATATACAGATTACAAAGCGTTCCTTTTAGGATTTATTTATACGTATTTTTCAATTATTGTTCGAAACAGTATATTTAACAGTTACATTATTGGTAGTGCTATTATATTGTTATTATATGCCTTCCATTATTTAGCTTGTGCTCATTCCATAACATAGTTGCATGAAATGACTTAATTTCGATGACTTATTTCCCATTTAATGGACAAATAGATTATTTTGGAAGTGTAAGGGATTAGCCTCGTTTGTTTGAGCATATTTCAAAAATAAGCTCTTATTTGGTTCATTTATTTATTTTTGAATCGAAAGAAACCTTACTGCCTCTTTTTGGAAACGTAATTCAATAATAAACTATAAATTATAATTCATAAATGATGTTACTTATGACTGTATATAACTAAGTTTATGATGAAAAATTATGGAGATATATTGTTGATGGTTCTGCAATTTACTATGTCAAAAATATTATGAAGAGAAGGCGAATTTTACTGCGTAAAACAACTCTCCTAGTTTGTAGCAAGACTGTAGCAGCATAACTAGACACATTACAGAAGTAACAGTTTGCTTCTCAAATTGCTCAGTGGTTAAAGTCAGCAATTACATTAAGGCGCAAATTATCGTTTCATACTTGTATATATTATTTATGTACTAATATGCAGTATTTTGCTCTCTTTTTTATAGGAGCTTTGTTAATATAAATTTTCGACACCCCGAAATAAATAATGAATCCCATTGTATATTAAACTTTCAAGAAGCTGCAAGGTCTCTTCTCTTAAATTAATTTATGGCACATTTCAGGTTGATATATTGATTTTAATTTATATTTTTAAGTAGTAAATAGTGTAAGGTTTTTAAAATTTTTACCTTGGAAGAAGCTTTTTTCCGGAATAATATCGGGACCTTGACTATTCGTAACACATGGCTCTTTACATTCCTTCATTAGATGAGCATCGCACCTGTTCATGTAAAAAATAATATATTTTAACATGCATTGCAAAATATATTAACAAATATTAAAAAGAACTTAAACAGAAATTGAAAAACAAAATATGTATTTGCATTTCATAACAGTTGTTTAGGGAAGACATAAAAGGAAAAAAAAAACTTATCTATGAAGTTCAAACCAGAACAGGATAAAATCGAAATTATGTTTTAAATAGGGAAACTTTTGGCTAGTTGTAACAATTTTGGGGAAGATGTTTATGCTTTTAAGTGTTTTCCCTTGATTATAACTGCTGTTTCATAGCATAACTATCCTTCACCATATTCACAAAACAAATACTGGGCAATTTTGTTGATTTTAGCATAATATTTTACTTGAACTATTCATCACTTACAGTTTGCCCAGGTCTTGGGGTAAATTGTAACAGACAATACAAACGAACAATACAAACGACAATATTTAACAAAATATTTGGTGATTATTATTACTTAATAAAGTGACACTATGAGGTATCATGACTATGTACACATGAAATGACATCTACTGCCTAAAGCATGAGTATAACCATGCCCCCGCTTTATGTATCGCATTATGCGTATAGCAAGAAATATATATATATATACCCATAATTTGTATATTTTATAAAACATAAAGTAAACTATTTTTTAGCAGCAAAATTTTATATAGTTATCAAAAATTTTAATTTTGCGAAAATAAATATATTTCATAAAATTACGCTCGATAAAGGGATAAGAATGCTGAAATGAAGAGAAAAAATTTGGTGCTATTGCATGATCGAATTGCATAGGTTATTAAGTTATCATTTCCATTAAACTACGTTACTTACTTGTCTGAGTCAGGACGATAATTCCTTGCTGAAAAAAAGCAGAAAAATATTTTTGTTAAAAAGCATTTCAATACCCTTTTTTATATTTCAATACAATATAAAAAAATAATGTATTATCCTTCTTTCCTGAAGAAGGACAAATGTTTGAGTTTTAGAGCATCATAAGATAATCTTAACTTGGCATTTATTTTAGAACTTTTGACAACTAAAATGTAGTTTTCTATATTTAATCAGTTGTTCAGTTTTAGCTGATAATTTTTATATGTAACTTCTACCATGCAAAAAGGAAGTCCATACAGTCACTCATATGCATTTATTTCTTTTTTCCGTTCGCTAGTTTTGTTCAACGTATCCACTATATTAAAGATAACTTACCAATGCCAACAGATCTCCTAATAGAAAAGGACTATTATTTGTCTTTCGAAATACAGTACATATTCAGTTGAAATCATCATTAAACAATATGTGATTTTTATGAATTATGTACGGTGCTTGCTTGTTATAAATAAATTATTCTACAGCTAATATGCCCAATCCATTACCTTGTAAATTGTTTAATACGTTTAGTAACAGCAGTGCGTTTGACTACAAACTAATATTTATAATATTAATATCTCGAAGTGAGAATTGATCTCCTTTATTCATAAGCAGAATATTTCTCAAAATTAAATGTATTAATGCACATATGTATACATATATAGATGTATATACATTGCACATATACATTTATATGAATACAGGTACACGGAAATTCACAACCTATAAAGTTATTAAAACTTTTCCGAATTTAAAGATCAGTCTAATCAAATTAACTCAAACATGCAAGATCAGCATTAATAGTCACAAATAACAGCAATATAATATTCATTATGCTTTCATTTTGGAATTATTATTTTTCATCGAAAATGTCACAGAAATGATAATGAACGAAAATGTCAGACGTAAAAGAAAGTATTATGCACCATTCGAAAGGCATCTTTTAGTTGCAAATATGATTAAGCACATACCTAAGAGGAAACTCAATTCATTCATATCACTAACATTTAGGCTCTGTCTTTGAAGTTTCATTATAATCAACTTAATAATCTTTGAGTCACTTCGTTAATGCTATTCTGCAGTAACATGCTTAGTGTCAAAGTTCATACTATGGTGTGACATTTCGCTTAATGCTAATTACTCCTAACTTCTGGGAAGCATTGCAATTAAATCTTTATATTGATAGTATAAGAAGTCTGGTTAAAGTTTCAAAGACTTAAATAAAACATTGTTTAATAATTTAATTAAAAATATTTTATCGTATAAATTTAGTAATAAATTACCCCTTGCATTGACTGGAGTATTGTTTACTAATAATAACTCCATAGACAAAATCAGACAGTTATATTGACATATAATGATAATTTTATAGATGACCTTTTTCAGATTATAGTAAATCGTAGATATTGTTATGTTTAAAAGAAATTGGTTGGATTACGGTTTTCATAATTCAACAATCACTTCCTTAATTTAAAATAGCAATATCTAGCGAACGATTAACGTAATCAATGAATCTCTTTTTCACAAGTATCTGTGCAGGTCGAAAAAAACGTTTTATTAAAACGTTATCAAAGAAAACTACTCCAATACTGCCCTCTATAATCGATTTTAGGAAGGAATAATAAAGGCATTAAATTAAGTAACGCAATTAAAACGTTAAAAAACAGAATGTTTTTTCTTGAATTTCTGTAAGATTTTTCCTTATAAAATATAATTTTAGGCTTAAATTACGAGACAACCTAATTTTAGAGTTTTTTAAAATGATTTTCGTAACCTTCAATTTTAAATGATCTTAAAAGATAAAAATTGGTGTATACTGCTTTTGCTAAGTTTAGTTATCTCTACCTGTACCTTTATCATTAAAACTTTTGAAGAAGTTCTGAAGTTGCAATCATTTTAATTGGATTTGAATTTATATTAATAATACTAAATAAAATGAAATGTAAAACAGATAAATGCATAATACTACTAAATAAAATGAAATATGGAAATGTGATGTCTGAATACATCGTACATAAAAATATCATTTACAGCTGGAAACTTTAATTAATCTCCTACTAGTTCATAGTCTGTATTCTTTTTAGTAAATAATACAATTCTATCTTGTGTCAGAGCGAAGTTTTTGTGGAAAAAACAATAATATTAGGTTTTCCCTTGGATATTTATTAAATTAATTTAATTGTGTTTAATTCATTTAGACAGTACTACAACAGTTTTCATTCACAATTCTTTAAAAGACAACATTTTAAATTAATTTCACTCGTCTCTGAATGCTAAATTCTTAATTCTAGAAACTAAGAAGCTAATTTCCTATGAATTTATTTTATTTACGAGCATGACAAATAGAACGGCAATGAACTTCCTTCTGCTTGATCAATCCCCCCCCCTTTTTTTTTTTTTTTTTTTAAAGTTTAGTTTAGATTTTTAGTGCTTCGTAGATCTGAAAGCATTGTATAATACCACAATCTATTTTCTCATATGATGAGAAACATGATCACCTAAACATTTAATAATCGCTCTATGAGCAGAATATAATATATTGCAAGGAAGACTAGAAATACTGACCTTAATCGAAAATTCCAAGCTTAAATCTCTGGAAGTCTACTTTCACGGGCGTCAGTGAGACTAAGGTAATTTCAAGCAAACCTCTTTTGTGTACGATACAAAACGTTCTGGAAGATTTATCTTTAAATATGGAACGGTTAGAGATGCTGAGATTAGAACTGCAATGAGTCATGATATTTTAGGACGTTGTGGGGTTTCAGCCCTTTATCTAACATCTAAGTGTGAATAAGAAGTAAAACTTAACTAAACTAAAACAATTAGAGCCAAAGCTATCAAGATTTCTAAGTAGTTGACCCCTAATCAACCCCTAATATAAACTAAACTGGGGAAGTTATCAAGGGCCTGAAATACGGCCGAGCATAGAAATAGCTTAGAGAGAGTGTAGCCAAAAGGCGAATGCGCGGTAGTCAGAATCTCTGGCTCTCTAACAAAGTCAGTAAAACATCGACTCAAATACTGCTCTTACTCATTTGCATTAACAGCGATTCTAAAAACACATTCTGGTAGGAAATTTTAAGCTGAATCTAGGAGGGATAGGAAAAAAATTAACTAAAGATAATTGTCAAAAACTTAGGATAAACCTGACAGCATCATTAGGAAAAAGATTAAACGGAGATTTCGATGTGCCTAAAGCGACTGCGTAAAATATTGTCGGTAAAAATCTGATGCAATGTGCATACCTTGCCCTTAAGCATTGAGCAGAATAATATTACATTTGCAAAATAAATTTCTTATGAGCTCATGGAAGTTGCAAATTATATGGATAGGCTCGGATTTTTGTAGCCGTATAGTGTTTGTGCAGCATGAGGGCACTCTAAGTATGTCGCGAGAAGAGTTATCTCGATAATTATTTGTAAAGATCTCTCCAAACTGTAGCTTGCAACAATGTATTAAAATGAAAAAAAGAATCAGAATACATAGTAACGCTTTTGCTTGATGAATTAATGTTTAAGCTAGCTTGAAGGATTTATAAATCCCCAGTTCTAATTCCACATAAAATATTTGAATTTTATTAAAAGAAAATAATTTCCGCGAATTTATTGTAATGGAAAATATGCAAAATACCCTGATTTTTCCATATAATACTTTTGCTACCCTTTAATAATATGTTTAATATAATTTAATGGAGAACATGTTGACTCGAGTGCATAAGGATTATTTGTTAATATTTAAGAAATAAAGATTTTTAATTCTTAAAATGCATGATAAATAATTATTTTCTAGCTCCAAATTAAAGCTAAGCCCAATTAAAAAGCGTAAAAATTTTTCAAATCACGACTCAGTCATTAAAGAATGGTAGCTGTCATTAAATACTGATAAAATTAAGGCATAATTTTTTTTTACAAATGCAAGACATATGAATTTCATTGCCATTCCGCATAAATCTAAGGGTCAGAAGCAGTAAAATTTTAAATTAATAAAGATTTAACTTTCTTGTAATATAAAAGGTGTGGTGTAGTAGTGTGTGGTGTATTTAATTATGGCAAAGTACACGAGGGCTATCTGCCTAATGGGAAGGATGCCTTTCGTGGAGGACTTTCTAAGGGAAACTGGCTCGTATACACGTTACACATGAAGAAAACCACGAAAACGGCCATGCAGCCAGCCCGTTCGCGGGATTCGAACCTCGGACCGAACTACCAGTGTTCAGCGACTTTACCGCTCGGCCGCTGGTGGGCTCTGTAATATTAATAAAAAAAAAAAAAAAAGAAAAGAAAAAGAAAAAATATATATATATATATATATATATATATATATTATGGAAGGAACTGAAAGCAGGAAGTTTTAAATACGTGGAGATCAGTTAGTGCAAGTAATTGAATAGTTTCTCACAACTTTCCGCTGGAAAACAAAAAATAAAATACTTGTACAACTAAAATTACTTTCTAAAAAATTCAATATTTTTTTTAATACATATTACCTCAAAAGGGGTGATTTTTATTTGCACATACATGTTCCTAGAGCCGGTTTGAGAGCCTTTGGGATAAAGCCACTTTGGGCTAAAAATATTTAAAAAAAGCATATCTTTAGAATTCCCGACAGACATTCTCGTAAGCTGGAAATGATAGTGTATAATTTCCTACAGTATTGCCACTTCACGCTTTGAAATCATTCCATTTTTTAATCAGAATTTCATTTAAACTTATACAGGTAAATAACAAGTAAATAATAAAACAAATTCGACCTTCCAAGTGGGCATATTCGGATGGAGGACTACGTTATTCGGAATCTGATGGCTCTAGGTATCGTTGTTTTTTCACAGTGCGAGAAACATAGATACAATCATGCATATTCATCATTATTTATTTTTTTAAATATAATACAGGGCGATAACGTTTGGTGGCAATGATTTTGAAAGTTATTCAACGCTTTCAGTGATTCGACGCAAAATACCGTTTCGAAACTAATAGCCCGTCTGGGCTAACGCCGCTTAACAACGCAAAAAGCTTTAAGTGAGAATTTTCTCTATAATAAAAATTAAAAATAAAACTATGAAATAAATTCACTCGAATTTTTATGAACAAGTTGATCTAGAAGTAGTGAAATTTCAGAGATTTGTATTTCAGTGAATTTTCAATGTACAATGAGTACAATCAGCGTAGTATGCATTTGAAAGCATAGAGAAAAGTTTGGGTTTTGGAAATTTCAGTTCCGACTTAGCTACCTGAGTATTATTACATAAGGAATGGAAATGGGAAGTAGCTAAAATAAAACGAAGAATAAAGGGCTATTGAAAAATTAAAGTTAATAATTTGCTTTCATATTTTTACATCTTACACAGGCACATATGTAATAATAAAATAATAATAATATTTTATATATATATATATAGCACACACTAGCCTTTTTCGACTTCGCGATTACTAAGGCCAGAAGTGGTGGTCATTTTATTTATGGAGACACATAATAGATGGCCTCCGTTACTTTTTATGGCGGGATAGACAAATTACATCCATGCCTTCTCCGAGCACTTCGGAATCGCAGTCCGCTCTCTTAACTACTATACCATCTGAGCAGCATAGTAATAATAATAACAATAATAATAATAATAATAATAATAATAATAATAGTAATAGTAATAGTAATAATAATAATATTAGTAGTAGTGGTAGTAGTAGTAGTAATAAAAAATTCCTTGAATCAAATACTGGTAAACTATTGTGTATTATCATACATAATAAAGTAATAAATAAAAATATTAAATTTTAAATATTTACTTGCTTTAAGATAATCTTTCATTTATATTAACTAATTTAAAATTTTACTCAAATCATAGCCTTCAGCTAAGTTCTCGTACTAAGAGGAAAAAAAATTGGCACATCTTAAAATTATAATGAAATTATTTTAAGTGTACAACCGTTAACCAAAATAATGCTAGGCAATTTAAAATTAATTTCTTTAATGAAATAAACATTACAAATACCTTTCACTGATCTATTGTATCGCAACTTCAGTGACAAAATTAGGATAACTGCTAGTAGAACCACAACAAAAATGGCTCCAATCACTATTCCTAATACTGCCGTTAAAGTTCCTGTATCTTCCTCTTGCTCTGAAAAGAAGTTAAAAAATTCACAGGTAAGTTACACCAAAGTATAGCAGTAATTAATCATTCTTTATTACTCATGAATAATTGAACTTCGAAATTTTGAACTTCGAAAATGAATAAATTTGCCCACACTTAGTCACGTGATATTGTAATTTCTTCATGAAAAGCAATTATAAGGAAAGATTGAGTGTTAAAAATTCCAAAGCTAATTAATTTCCAGGAATAAGATCGTATAAATATGCAAGAACATATTTTGTAGCAATTATTTACAAAACACATTTTCGACTCTCAGAATTTTATTTTAATTATTTAATGCAAATGTATTGGCCGAATAATACAGTTAATTGACAATGAAAACTACTTAAATTGCTACAAACTTAACACAGAGATAATTTCCGGTTAATTAAGCTTTGAATATTTTATCAAATTAAAATATCAGTATAAAATCAAAATTTAATGCAGAGATAATTTCCAGTTATATAGGCTTTGGATATATATTTTTTCAATTCAAGTTATCAGTATCAACTAAAGTTCTTAATAACATGTATGATAGAAACTATAAATCGAATCACAGACTGTTTACGGGGGAAATGGAGAGTCTTGTTTTCCATGGTTATGATGTTTTATAAGCAAAGCAAAGTTTGATAACACGCATGACATATACAATGTGAAAAACGTACTTACATGCGAAAATACACATACAATACTTAAGCTAAATAATTGTAATACTTAAGTTAATTTTTTAATTTATTGCTTAAAAAATAAATTCATGAATTTAATATGAAAACAAAATCATCAGACCACAAAATTTTATAGCTCAAAATATTGCATATAATATTTGGTTGGTTAGCATTTACCATTCAGAACATCTGGAACCCGCTTTATAATTGAATAATTGCCCTTTCATATAATGCATTTATGGTTGTACTTAAATATAACTTCCTTCAATGCATATTTTATCTAAGGAATGTTTAAATGACAACATTCACTTTTCATAAATTGCGAAGTTTCTCTATGAAAATCGAATTGTTTATAGAAGTGCCTGTTATGGGAAATATGCGAAGACGTTTGTGTTATATTCTCTTCACTCAAATGCTTAATGAATTTGAGATCAAAAAAGAGTAAACATTGTGCCTAGGGGTAAAAAATGCCTAGACGTAAAAGGGAGAAAAATCTTCAATCTGTCTACAAATCTTACTGTTACCGCTTAGAGTTTCCGCTTGCAGTACACAAGAGAAGCTCATCTATCCTATACATAAGTTAAAATCTTAATAACTGTGTGAACACATGATATACAGAGGCTGCTCGAACGTTTTTAGGCAATTTGGTTGTATTTAGAAAATATTTTACCTAAAATGTTTGTGTTTCAAATGTTTCATTTCATACCCCTTATTCTTTACTATCTTTCTACACCGTACTTTCCAACACAGTAAAACTTTTCTTAATAGCCGAAGAGATATTTTATCCCACTCCTCTTGAACAGCTGTCCAAAGTCCAACAAACGTTTTAGGTTGACGTCTGGATAATTCGCTTTCTAAAAGTCTAAGAGCGCAAAAATCCGTGTATGTTACATCAGGAGATTTAGTAGTGATATGAGTGAAGAGTATACGTTTATTGATCTTCTTGATACACGTTTCTTGTTCCATTTTTTCAGGAAATTAACAGTGGATTTTGACGTACTGCTGTTTGCTTTGTCATGTTCTACTGATTGATGGGACTGTGGATAAAGAGAACATATTTCGTAAATTGGATATGAAATATGCTCCTGATAATATGTGGAGTTGATCATAAATGTTTTTTGTTTGCCGTTATATCAATACCCAAAAACAAACATAAATCCTTTTGAAAAACTTTCTTTAGATTCTTTAAACCATGTTCTAAGACTTTTATTTTCTCTTCGATGATAGTAAGTGGATCTATTTTATTGTAGTCATTTAAATACACTCAAGATTCATTTATTGTGACAACATTTTCCCATTTTTATAGGAATAATTGTTTCTCGTAGAGAATTCTGTAGCGCGTTCTGCTTTCGACGATATGTCGTGGAGAAAGACAATGCATATTATGTTTTTTCGCCTTTTTAAGATTCAAGTCAGCTTTAATCACTTTGTTTACAATTGCCACTAAGCATTTCAACGATTATGTTACCGCGTTTTGGCTCCAAAAATTTTCTTTTAACATTAAAGTTTTTGCCTCTGCAACATTTGAAACAATCCGTCTTTTCCTTGGATATGCATTTTGAACAACTCTTCTCCTTGAAGTTAAACTTTGATATTTTTTATTCACAAAATTTGTTCTTATTGACAACATTACATTTAGATACCGAAAGTCATGGGTTTAACATTTTTTAATTTTCTTCGGAAGAGCACAAACATAGCTTTCCGTCCAGTGCTCCTCTAAAAGCGCCATTTTGCATTGTGCCATATCCCTGATTGAGATGTATGCGACTCACAAGAAGAAAATCTTATATTTTGTACTTATTTTACAACCTAGTTCTTATGCTTTATTCCATAGCGCTTTCGACTGACTTTCGCACATGTTTACATCTCACATAATCCGTCCTACCCATTTAAAAATCCACCAGTTGCAAGTGAAAGCACCGTTAATATATAATGGTCGCAGGCTTTCACTAAATGTTTCGTTGATAAAATCTATTTCACTTATAAAAAGCTTTTAAAGCAATTTATTTGAATAGTTTATTTAATAGCGGCATTGCCTACGTTTAACGTTCGTGATACTCCTTGACTGAGTAAAATTTAATTGCGTGCCTATTTCCATATTTTATTTCATATTATACACAGAAGTTATCTCCTAATAAAGCTACTAAATCTATGGATGATTATTTTACAGCATAATTTTTTAATCTATAGATATTATTTAATTTTATACTCTATATATATTTATTTAGAATAAGAGTGAAGCGTTACTTAATATAGTTATATGGGCAAAAAGAAAGAAAGAAAAGGTTAGATTTCTTATATTTTTTAAATTAATTATTTTAAATAAAAATACCGTAAAATTAATATTCTCATCATTAAAAGGATTTTTGCTTTTAGAAGTATGTTTTATGAGGCCCCTTAACCAGGATAATGGTTGGTAACCGAAGGGCTTGGGTTCAAATCCCGAAGAAGGCACTGAAATGAAAATTTGTGATCGGTAATATTACTTACATATGCATGATGCTCACGATATTTTCTTGTCGATGTCAAGTCAGTAGCTATGCAGACAAGAACATTAAGAAATGGTATCTTGAACCACGCTCGAATCTTGACTAACAGGATGACTACGTGAGCATTTTCACTGTTTTCCACACGTTTAACACAAATAATTTCCCATAGATTTGTAGTTTATCTTATTATATTTTGACAACAGATATCAATCTAAAACTAATTTCACAACCAAACTGCAATATTTGATGATACGTTACACCTAAACCATTATGGCAATAGAGTCTGGATGTTTGTAACAAAATTAGGCATTCTTTTTCAAACCTTTCAAACGTTCTTGACGTTTCTGACAGTCAGAAAGTAAAAGTCATAAAAAAGTAATAGTCACTGCTAATCCTCAAAGTAATCACAGTCGGCATCCAGTTCTTTTTTCCAACGAGTGGCTAGTTGTGCGATGCCGTCGAGGTAAAACTCGGGCGTCTTGGACGCAACGAAGTCAGTGAGGACCTTTCCGAGGTCTGGCCGGTTGTTGAATGATTTTCCACGATGATTATTGTCTCAGAAATGGAAAAGGTGGTAGTCTGTTGGCGCGAGCTCTGGGTAGTATGGGAAATGGGGGTAATGTTTCCCAACCCAGTCACTGGGTAGTGTCCGTGGGCTCCCAGGCCACATGCGGCCTCGCATTGTCATGGAGGAGGAGTACACCCTTACGATTGATCAATGCTATCTCTTTATGCACCAGTGCCTAATGCACACGTTCCAATTGCTGCGAGTACAGGCCTGCCGTGATGGTTTGGCCCTGGTGGCAGAAGCTCATAGAGCACCACTTGCCGATTAGTCCACCAGATTCAGAGCATGATCTTGCGTGAGAAGGCATCGCAGTGTGAGGTACAGGGTCCAGAGATGACACCAATGTCTGGAACGCCTGGGTGTGTCATACTGGACCCACGTTTCATTGCTGGTGAGTACTCGATCAAATCTGGATGCATTGCGGTGCCGAGTAAACAATGACAAACAGGCAGTGACACGTTATTGCTTGTTTGCATTGGACAATGAGTGGAGTACCCATTTCCTCAGCTTGTGCGATGCAAATGGTGTCTGGTCGTTTCATCACGTACCTGGAAGTGTGCAGCAAGTTCACTACATGTTTCGCTATTGTCACTCTCTATGGCTGCTCCCAGGGCCACATTTTCCAGAGCTTGTGGCTGTTCCCTACTTGGTGCATCATTAAAAGACATATCCCCTTACCTGAACTTCAGGAACCATTGTTTAGCGGTTCGTTCGTTAATGGTATTATCCCCACATGCCTGGCGCAAATGATCAGACAATTATCTACACAAGAACTGTAGAGACATTAAGTATTTTTTGGAAGCAGGCTAGATGAAGAATTAACAACGCCTTCGCCGGTAATCGAAACGCGGACCTCTGGAGTACGCGCCCAGCGTGCAGACCACCACACCACAAAGGCATGTCAAGAAGGCGGGAGAAATACATTATAGGATTATGATTTACTAATACAAGTGTATAGTAGCATTATATCTCGATTTGATAGAGATAGTGTGATGTTAGTAATAACATTGGCTAGAAGAATAAGTAAAAATTTTAATGTAGACTGCAAATAATGTTTCCAATATTTGGAGTGTTTAACACATACTATACTATTTTAAACACTTTGAAAAACATTTGACGTTATATACTTGAGGTTTTCGATGAAATTTATCTGATCTCGCCATATTAAGGTTGCTGTGTTTTATGGCTTTTATTCGGAAATGAATCTATTTACATCAGGCCGTTCACCAAAAAACAAAATATTTAATTCAGAGTTGACATCATCAA